TCAGGACCAATAATGAGAGTAGTGATACCAGGAGGGTAAGGGTAAAGTGGGGAGAAAGGAGAAACTGATCGCAGTGATCTACATATAACCCCCTCCCTGGGGGGCAGACAACAGAAAAGTGGGTGAAGGGAGACATCAGATAGTGTAAGACATGACAAAATAATAATTTATAAACTATCCAGGGTTCGTGGGGGGGGTGGGGGATGAGCTGATACCAAGGGCTCAAGTTGAAAGAAAATGTTTTCAGAATGACGATGGCAACAAATGTAAAAATGTGTTTGACACAATGGATATATGTATAGATTGTGATGAGTTGTGCGAGCGCGCCATAAAATGATTTTTTTAAAATTAAAAAAAATATATGGTGACCAAATTTGTGGAGGAAATCAATCTGAGGAGCTCTTTTTTTTTAGAAAAAGGAGCCCTGGTGGTGTGGTCGGGTGGTGTGGTGGGCAGCAAATGGAGCTTCTAACCACAAAGTCATTGGTTTGAACTTACCAGCTGCTCCTTGGGAGAAAGCTCAAGCTGCTTGCGCCTGTATAGATTGTTTAAAGTCTCAGAAACCCCAAGGGGTGGTTCTCCTCTGTCACTGTGGTTTCAAATCAACCGACGCCAACGAGTTCAGTAGGGATTTTGTTTTGGAGCTATCCTTAGAAAAGTGTATTAGAGGAAATTGTGTGTGTGTGGGGGGGTAATGATCTAGAAACCAAATCTCAGTATGGAAATCAAGAGGGGAAAGATGTAAGGAGAATACGATGGACATTGAAGAATAGCAGCTTAGGAAGTAATTGCTAGGTTCTTCACTATTATCCTAAATAATGTTGCTGAATATAATTTGTAGTCATTTGTTGGCATAGGGATAGGTAGAGCAGTGTTCCTCCTATTGCTTTGTCGGCCTATCGTCCTTTAGCTCTGCTCCTCATAACCAATGTATGTTCTTCACCGCTGTCCTTTGAGAATGCCTTATAAATGGAACCGTATTGTCTTCTTTCAAAACCATCTAATTTTCTACATTTTTAAGGCTTAATTTAATGAATACAAATGTTTATGTAATCTGTTATTAAAGATAAATCTTTTTTTTTGGCTAAGGCCTGTGTAGCACAAACTTCACATTTTTGGTTTTTTATACAGTTTTCTTGTGACATAATCAGAATATGCTACCATTCAGCAGTTCCATCGTACCAAGAAGAGTTTCACAATCACCGCCACCGTCAGTTTTAGAACATTTCCTTCTTCCTTGTGCTGCTTGCTAGTAGGTCTCTGTTTCTTCCCATCCTCCCTTCAGGCACCCTCAGGGAACCATTAATCCAGTTACTGGCAATAGATTCACCCATCTTGTTTTTGTTTTTTGTTTTTTGTTTTTCCATTCTTAATTTTAAGTGTTATTGGTGTGCTCCATTCAAATATGTGTTTTAAATTGTGTGGTTCTAAAACACTCCCATTGTGTCTCCATTACAGGTGATTTTGCAGTTCTTCTTAAAGCAGGCATGACTGTAAAACAGGCCATTGTGTACAACCTCCTCTCTGCCATGATGGCGTACGTAGGCATGTTGATAGGCACAGCCGTCGGGCAGTACGCAAACAACATCACACTTTGGATCTTTGCCATCACAGCAGGCATGTTCCTCTACGTAGCCTTGGTAGATATGGTAAGATGTCTTCTCTTTTTCTTGTGGTCTAAACCTGCAAATAGATTATAATTTCTAAATAATGGAAGAAATCCCTGGAAATGGTTTGGGAACCATGATATATTAAAGAAAGTATTTAACCCATTCTAACGATGAATGATATTCTAAATAAGCAAGCAAGGAAAAACATGTAAGCAGGATAGTTGCTTCTTGGAAGCCATGTAGAAATATGCTGAAAAAGTTTGATCAAATGATGCGAACATTCAAAGTCATCAGTAATATTTAAAGATGACAGAATACGAATTTTTGGGGATTTAAAAATATTTGTTTAGAGGTGTTGTCAATAAAATAATTCTTTGGGCTTGCTTTATAGCAAAGAAATAAATACTATGCCTGTTAGTTAATTCAATCTTCTGAGGTATATGATAGAGATTCTAAGGGATTGATAAAATGTATCTGTAACGTTGGTTAAAAGTTAACATAAAAAGTACACGATTAACAATGAATACAAGGGAAAATAAAATGTTCTAAAATTGATTGTGGTAAAGATAGTACCTTGATATGATACTATGATATGTGGCTGAAGTGCCAATCAAACTTTTCTTAATCTACATAAAATATGCAGTAACAAAAAGTTAATAAATCAAAGAACTTATAGCCCCCTTTAATTTCACTTTGATATCTCACATGTGCTTAGCAGTGTATTCACAACAAAAAATTTGGATAGTTTTTGTTTTCAAATAGGTATTACATTCAATTTCTCATTGTAGGAGCTTATCAAATCATCTCATTTCAAAATTATGAAATAGAAACTTTAATTAGAAAAGCATTCCTATTCATAATATAAAGTTTTAAAATGTAAATAAAAAGAAGAAAATAGAGGTTATTTATATTGTTAACTTTCTTCTCAGCCTTCCAGAACCTCATATCCATCGCTTTGCTCAGCTGATAACTTTGCATTGTACTTAGTGGAGAACACTGAAGTTCCTCTCGCTACTCTCCTCCTCCTCTGTATCTGTGCCTGTGTAGACAGATGTATGATCCTAGCTAAGGCAGGCATTTCAGCAGTATGGTCTCTGCTACAACTCCTCAACTCTGACTGTAGTGCACATGCAACCACAGGCAGCACACCCACTGCCACAGTTTACCAACCCTGTTACAAACTGTTAGACTATTTGACAGAGTTCCTTAGTGCAAAGTATGGATGGAATAATGATCTCATAAATATATAATCAGCTGCTTGTTTGAGCCCGTGGTTGACAGATATTGTGTTGATTAATCTTGAGAGTGTTCCTCTCGTTGAATCTTGACTTCACCAAACATGATGTCCTTCTCTGAGTAGTAGTTCTTACAAATAAGACCCTCGGGAGATTGTTGTGCGTGCTATTGACTGTCAGAACATGCTGGCTGAATTAATTGAACTCACTATTTAATACCTTAATAATACTGTGTCTTTCTAGGCAAGTAGGCATTATAGATGCATTACATTTCCTCTCCGTTAACCTGAAAGCACTAATATATTATTTGAAGTAAAACTTAGTGTATAAAAGAGCAGCATCCAGTCAATATCATTGGTATATATATTAATTTTTGCAGATTTGTGGAAGTGAGAACTGGAAGTGGCAATTATTTTGTAATTTTGGTTAGGTCTTAGCTTTAGGTGGAATTTATGTTTACCATAATAATGCAAATGCATTTCATTTTTAGTATATCTTCTGTGTACAACAATTTAATTTTTTATAGCTTGAATCTAGATAACTTTTAAGATAAGGATATACAGTTAAAGCGTATTAAGTTTAACATACATACATAGATAAATACATAGCTAAAGCTTATAAGGTTTTAAGGTAAGAATATATAGTTAAAACTTTAGGAGGTTAACTATCATTGAAGCTTTCAAAGCACTATGCTTTTAAAGAATTGAACGTTAATTGGAACAGCAGTAATAGAGAGTGGAGTACACTGTGAGGACAGTCTCACAGCAGTAGCTGTGATAAGCTGTTTTCTGTCTGGTAGGAAAGAAATGACTTAAAGGCACACAGATGTCAATATGGAATTGCCTCTAATGCCTGTCCTTGCTGCCATATGCAGATGGAAAAGGGTGAAGTAAAATTTCAGTGTGAATTAAAGTATCCCCCCAAAATGAGTCTAATTTGCTCAGAAAACTTAGTATCTCTCTGTAAGTGTGAGAATTTGGTGATCTTTCCTGAGTCTTATTGGCAGTAAGAAGCTGTGTTAAACCTCAGCATAAAGAAAGATGCCAGAATTACCGTATATACTCTAGTATAATCTGACCCGAATATCAGCCGAGTCACCTAAATTTACCACCAAAACTGCATTTAAGAAATGTGCTGAAAAACTCAGCTTATACACGAGTATATATATAGTACTAAGATCAGTGCGATTTAACTGATTAAAAGACTAACAGATAACTTTTATGTGTTTGCTTTAAAGGCAGGAAGGAAACCGTATTTACTTCACACGTAGACAAAGTGTTGTTTCATTGTGTTTGATTAAATGTCTTATGGTTAGCATTGTGCTCAATAGAATCATTATTTTGTTTATAGCTAGTTTAGTCACTAGTTTTTAAGTAGGAAAATGTTTCTAAAATATCTAGCTTAGAAATTATACAAAATTTCTTATTGAGATGTGTCTGTTTCCAGCTTCCAGAAATGTTGCACGGTGATGGTGATAACGAAGAACATGGCTTTTGTCCAGTGGGGCAGTTCATTCTTCAGAATTTAGGGCTGCTGTGCGGATTTGTCATCATGCTGGTGATTGCTCTTTTTGAAGACAAAATTGTGTTTGACATCCAGTTTTGAGCATTCTCGCGATCACCCACCGTTGCTTATGAGAATGGTGCCCTTCAGCTTTGCATCTGTCCCATGTACTATTCGCTCACTGCTCAAAGGAAAGTCAGTGGCTTGCACTACTTACACCTTCCATAGATTTGAGCCTAAACACAACAGCCTGGTGCTCGGAGAGATTTCCCTGAGTGAAAAGCAAAGCTTGTGATGAGGAAAGGGAAAATGGGACTCGGAACCATTGTTGATGTAGGTTTGATTAAGACTTTTTAATAATCATATAAAACACTAAAGTAGTCGCTTTATTAGTAGAAACTTCTGTGACTATGCAGAAATAGGAATTGAACCAAAAATAAAAATTATAAAAATAATCAAATCATCAAAACTTTGAAAATATTTTAAATGGACTTTGGGCAGACTATTTGTGCTTAAGAATGAATTATAGTGCCCTTTAATTAAGCTACATGTATACACATGGTATTAGGATTCAACCTGACATAAGTTTGAAAATGCATAAAATAGACTGTAGGAATTAGAGGAAAGCTCAGGCTGCATTTGAGCATGGATTTAGCATTGGGAAAAGTCCTTATTCTTGAATCTAGAGTTACTATTTTTGTATATATTTGCATAGTGTTTAAACTTGCAGCCTAAACTACTGAAAATTGTGATTGTATGTTTGTGTGAGCTTCAGTTTAATGAAAGATTCATGATGGTTCTTTGTATTACTATTATACTTGGTGTTTGGGATTTTTTTAAACTTCAATTTTGTTTAGGTGTTTTTGGGAGCAGTGGGGCACATGGTAAACATGTTTGTTTGTTTTTTTCTTAAAATAGAATATATCCCAAAAATGATGAACCCAAATAAGGTCTAAGTATTCCATTTCTCTGTATGAATAGTACTAACTCTTACATGACTGGGGGAATTTCGGTTCTGAATGTACACATTACCCGTTTGGCATTAGAACCGAGAGCGCATGCTGTGGGAGGCAGTAAGGTTGTAAATGGAAAGCCCAGCTTTTACCATGCCCCGAATCTACACATGAAGCGGCAGGTAAGACCTTGATTAGGATAACCTCAATTGATCGATACCACGACTGTCGTGGTACCAAGTAACTTGGAATACAGGTTCATATAACAAAGCTGAAATTACTTGATCATTTTGTGCCAGGATATGCTGTTGGTGCCTGATAAGGATTAGTGTCTTTTTGGTGCCCTGCGTTCCCACCATAATTGCCAGTGATTTGTGAGAAGTGCAAGCCATGTTTATCCTGAATTTTGCCCTAATAATTTGTAATACTAGGCAAATGCATGTAGCTTCCTGTTTACATATTGTGCCATATGATCTTCATTTATTCCAGGTGAACTGGATCTGAACTGTGTGCAGCTAGCTTGGCTTTAATTTGCTCGGCAACTTATGTAGCTGCTTAAAAAAAAAAGTGTATTGTTCAAATATTCGAGGGCCAGCCCTCTTCCATTCTATTTTAAATGTCCTCCTGTCCTCTCCGCTCTAAGAACTTTAAAACAAAAACTCGGAGGGCAGCACATGCATCAAGGTATTCAGAGCCCATTGCCAGTGTTTCTTCTTCCGGCTCCGGGCAGGGGATTAGATGTTGACTTCCTTAATTTAAGCTTACTATCTGAAAACATTCTTTCTGGCTTTCTCCATGGCCTCCTGGTAACAAATAGGAGTTTATACGTTATTTTTAGCAGTGGGCACTGAATTAGGACAGTCCTCATCTCATTGCTTGGCGCTTCCAGCAACCTACCTAAAAGGTGCTGATAATTTTATTTAGTACCGCCAACTTCAAGTGATTCAGAGGTCTTGCTTTCTGAACCAGATATATTTATAGTCAGTGTTACAGTTTTTTACACCCAAGGAGGATTCTGTACTCCTGCATCAAATCTGCTTCATTTAGGGGTTTTTGAAAAGCAACAGGTGGAATATACTCCCAGTCTTAAAATAAAATGCCTGATCTAAAGCAAAAGGGTCATGCTGAAGTATGTAAAGTTTTCCAATCTCTCAAAAACGGTATTATCTTTATTTGCTAGAGTTTTTAAACCTTTTAAGAGGGCTGTAACCATTGCTGCTAGAAATGTCATTAGGGTGCCACCAGGTTGCACATCATTCTAATGTATAGTTTCAAGTCTTACTAGACAATCTGAATTCCACTACATTTCTGTTTGGCTCCAACATTCCATTTAGCCTGACCAGTCTAATTTGAACACGTGTCTGTTGGTGGTCATTAATGTTACTTGTACAATGCTGTCACTGTGTGACATCCATATGAATTTTGGTGTACATCACATTGCATTCAATCAGCTGTGATTATGCTTAGAAATACTATAGTAACTAGATGCAGTGTGAATTTTTCCATGACCAGTAAGTATGTGGCTTAAATGTGATAATGGTCCTGCAAGTTTAAGCTTGCTTGCTCAAATATCTAAACCCTTTTTGTTGTAACTGAATCATTTTTTAAAAAAAACAAAATTTATAAAGCTGGAAATAATGAAATGCTGTTTTTTCATTGTCAACAGTGGTGTGTCATTGTGTGTATGTTTCTGAGGCTTCTGGAACTCTCCCAAATAAAGTTATTCAAAAGAGCAAAGAGACGTGTGTTTTCTTTAGTCTTTATTTCAGAACATTTGCTTATCCTGTAATAATGAGTCACTTTAAATGTTTGCTTCATTTACACATATAATTCTAGACAAATTGAAGCAAAACGCTGTTTAAAAAGGAAGTCTCCCTTTTCTGTTCAGCCATATGTGATGAAATAGGAAGATGGGAGTGGCCTGTCATAATGCTCATTATGAATTCAGTTGACATAGCAGTGCTACACCCCGTCCAATCCAGTGCTCCTTGGGCTGGTCAGAGGGAAGGGTCATGGCAATGACAAAGTTTGTCGAATGCCCGGTGGTGGATAAGGTTCCTCTCCGCTCACTGGTCTTATACAGAGGAGCAGTGTAGCTTGGTCTTTTTGGTATATCTAACCTCTTACAGGGCTTTAGCCACATCTGGAATAGAATAAAATAAAATCTCTTATTAAAGTTGTTAAATTTAGCATATACTCTCTTGTTAAGAGTGAAACCGGTTAAATTATTCCTGTTAATTTCTGTGGCCCAAATTTTATTTATTTCTGCTAGACTGTCATTACTCAAACACTTTCATTTTTTAGGTCTTAGCACTCTTGTCTTCAGAACTAGTGTGGAGATTGAATGAGAAAATTCAGTTACTGTCATTCTTAGCTACTCTTCAATTATTCACTTCTGCAGCATTCTTACCAGGGGATGGATGACTTTGGGGACGTAAATCAAAAAAATCAGGTACACTTTCACAGGGCAGAGAACTGCCACCATTGTTACTAAGAAGCATGTGCCTTTATAAATTGATGGCCAGTCATCCCAAAGACTTCTGACGTTCGTTATTGTTCTCAATGGTTATATAACTAGCTTTCCCTACTCCAGCTTCCAATTTAGACATTGTAAGAGGAAATGAGTTTATTCTGCTGTTTAAAATGTGGCCACATTCCAACATAAGTATACAATAGCTCATCTTTTTATCTTTGTTTTTAAAAACATTTTGTTGGGAGTTAATAGAGATATATCATTCCATAGTTCATTCACATCAAGCAACTGTACAATTGCTACTACGATCCTGTTTTCCTTTAACTGCTTGAAATCAGCTCCCTTTTACACCCACCACCACACCACTGTACCCCCTGAAACCCTTATTCCACATGCTGATGAACCTAGGGGTTCATCAACCCTAGGTTTCATATACCGAAAAACAGATAAACAACAAAAATCAGTCACCCCCAATGATATATAACATCTGCAGTAAACCCCACTATGAACAAATAATAATACAGAAAATGTTGAAAACGAGATCAGGTCTACTGTGCACAAGGGGAAATCAACTGTCACCGTTTTAACCATTCACGTCAAGTTTATCATTTTGATCTCCTATAGTCATCTCTCCAACACACTGTTTAGTAACCAGTTTGTTTCTTCCTCTGTAGATCCTACAAATGCTTCTTGGGCTCCCACTGTCATCCCTAGTGTTCTGCAAGCCTAATTCTCACGATTTAGGCCCTGATAACGATTCCCTCCGGCTTTGGGTATGACCTACAATCCTTCGGTCACTGATGTCAGTGTGCTTCTTCCATGTGAAGCCCATCTTTTTAAAGTCATCAGTCAAGTTTCTAGAATGCTGTGTTCAACTCATGGGTAAGCCTTGCCAAAGCTCAAATATGAGTGGATTTTCAGGGAAGTTGATTTTGAACATAAAGAATCAACCTGTAACTATAAAAAATGAAATGTGTTTTGTAACTTTTTCATGTAATAGTAGTAATCTTTGAGATGACAAGGCTTGAAAACTCATTCTTCAGAGCCATCTTGTCACGTAACTTGGGTTAAAACAAAAAGGAACAGATCCAGGAAGGGTTGTACTTCTCTTACATCACTGTAGAATTCGCCTTCCATATTGTGGGGATTCACAAGCAGTTTGGCAGACACAGCTATACCACTGGAAAATTGTTGTTTCAATTTCATTTCAGTTCAATTCAATCTAAGGATAGATTTTCCTAATGAGATTTTTAAAAATTATTTCTTCCTCGTGGCCTTCGGTATTCTAGAAACTTAGTACCCGTTTATAAATACACGTTGCTTACTACTCAGCAAGTTCTCGTGTAAAAGAAAAATGGCCCAATCCCAAATGGAAATTGCAAACATTTGCTCAGTGACTGAGTTTTGCTCTCACATTTGAAAATTTTCTGCTCATATTATTTTTTGTTTGTTTTAAAAATCATTTTATTGGGGGCTCGTACAACTCTTATCACAATTCATACTTCCATCCATTGTGTCAAACACATTTGTTCATTTGTTGCCATCATCATTCTCAAAACACTTGCTTTCTACATGAGCCCTTTGTATCAGCTCCTCATTTTTCCCCTCCCTCCCCATCCCCCTCAGGAAACTTTGATAATTTATAAATTATTATTATTTTGTCACGTCTTATACTGTCCAACGTCTCCCTTCACCCATTCTTCTGTTGTCCCTCCCCCAGGGAGGGGGTTTTCTGTAGATCCTTGTAATCAGTTCCCCTTTTTTACCCCACCCTCCCTCTACTCTCCAGGTATCACACCACTCACCACTGGTCCTGAGGGGTTAATCTGTCCTGGATTTCCTGTGTTTTCAGTTCCCATTTGTACCAGTGTATGTCCTCTGGTCTAGCTGGATTTTTTAAGGTAGAATTGGGAGCATGATAGTGGGGGGAGGAAGCATTTAAGAACTAGAGGAAAGTTGTATGTTTCATCGTTGCTATACTGCTCCATGTCTGGCTGGTCTCCTCCCCGAGATCCTTCTGTAAGGGGATATCCAGTTGCATACAGATGGGCTTTGGGTCCCCGGTCCACACCACCCCCTCATTCACAATGATATGATTTTTTTGTTCTTTGATGCCTGATACCTGATCCCTTCGACACCTCATGATCACATAGGCTGGTGTGCTTCTTCCATGTGGGCTTTGTTGCTTCTGAGCTAGATGGTCGCTTGTTTATCTTTAAGCTTTTAAGACCCCAGACACTATGTCTTTTGATAGCCGGGCCCCACCAGCTTTCATATCTTTTGATAGCCGAGCACCATCAGCTTTCTTCACCATGTTTGCTTATGTATCTGCTTTGTCTTCAGTGATCATGTCGGGAAGGTAAGCATCATGGAATGCCAGGTTAATAGAACAAAGTGTTCTTGCATTGAGGGAGTACTTGAGTGGAAGCCCAATGTCTATCTGCTACCTTAATACTAAAACTATAAGTATATGTACATAGATTATTTCCCCATCATCATATATAAATATATTTACATATATACATGCCTGTATTTAGACCTCCATAAGTGCCGTTTGCCTCCTAGTCCTCTATTTCCTTTTACTTTCCTCTTGTCCCACTATCATGCTCAGCCTTCATTTGGGTTTCAGTAATTTCTCTCGGTTACATTGCCCTTGATCAATCCCTACCAGGCCCTTTATACCCTCCTCACCACTGACTTTGGATCACTTCTTGTTCCCATGTTCCTGGGTTTGTTAACACCCACTTCCTCTCCCCCACCCCTCCTCCCCCGGCCTTCCCCTCTCCCATGTCCCTCCATAACCATCGATCCCTTGGTTTTCTCCTCCAGAACTGCTCATAGTATTATAAGATATTTGGTAGAGTTCTCCCATTTGGCAGTCACCTGCTCCCTCATTTGCATCTATTATAGCTGCTTTAAGGGATTGTTGCCTGACTTGAATGGGTTCCCAGAGCCCTTCCTCACCCTACCCCCTTATTCCCAACAAACAATTCATGTAAATCCCACAGCCTATATGAAAGTAAGCCAGAAAGCATTGCTACCAGGGTCCCGCTCATAAATACACAGATGAACTCAAAACACGTTTAAACCTGCTCTGATCAGTGGATGGATACAGTCAAATTCTCAGTCTCGTTGGGCACCTTCAAAACAGGTCACATCAAAACTGTCTTGCGAGGGGTCTGTTGGGACAGTTAACTTCGAAGCAGAAAGGTCTGCACAGAAGGTCATGGCAACTGCTCTTCGAGATTCCAAATGGATTAGCTTGGTAGATTTTCCCCAAAGTACACAGGACAATCACAGGGGCTTCAAAGTTTTAAGAAAAGGGAACCCTGCACTGGGGAGCAATCCCTGTGGACCTGATCATTCCTTAGGATAGTAAGGGCTGTCCTAAGGGAATTTCATTGGGAAAACGGAACCCCATCCATCCTATAGCTCGATCTTGCCCCTTCAGATTTATTTTTGTCCTCAAAACTCAACAGTTAACAGAAGCACAATTTGAGCCTCTCAAAAATACTCAAACTGGGCATAGGATGCCTGGTGGGGCTTGATCAGGGTAATATAGCCGAGAGGAATTACTGAAACCCAAATGAAGGCTGAACATGATAGTGGGACAAGAGGAAAGTAAAAGGAAATAGAGGAAAGAACTAGGAGGCAAAGGACATTTGTAGAGGTCTAAATGCAGATATGTACATATGTATATATATAAGGATAAGGAAATAGATCTATGTACATATATTTATATGTTAAGTATTAAGGCAGCAGACAGATACTGGGCCTCTACTCAAGTACTCCCTCAATGCAAGAACACTTTGTTCTAAAAACCTGGCATTCTGAGATGCTCACTTTCTCTGACACGATCATTGAAGACAAAATGGATGCATAAGCAAATGTGATGAAAGCTGATGGTGCCTGGCTATCAAAAGATAAAGCATCTGGGGTCTTACAGGCTTGAAAATAAACGTGCAGCCATCTAGCTGAGAAACAACAAAGTTCACATGGAAGAAGCACACCAGCTGGTGTGATCATGAAGTGTCAATAGGATCAGGTATCAAATACCCAGAACAAAAAATATCGATGTGAATGAGGGGCAATGCAGAGTGGAAACCCAAAGCCCATCTGTAGACAATTGGACTTCCCCTTATAGAAGGGTCACAAGATGAGCCAGTCAGTGAGCAGTATGGCACGGATGAAACAGAACTTTCCTCTAGTTCTTTAATACTCCCCCACCCCACCCCCACCGCATCATGACCCCAATTCTACCTTACAAACCAGGCTCGACCAGAGCATATACATGGGTACAGATAAAAGCTAGCTTGCAACACGGAATCCAGGACAGATAAACCCCTCAGGACCAATAATAAGAGTAGCGATACCAGGAGGGTAATGGGAAGGTAGGGCAAGAAACGGAGACCTGATCACAATGATCAACATATAACCCCCTCCCAGGGAGACAGACAACATAAAAGTGAGTGAAGGGAGACAGCAGTCAATGTAAGCTATGAAAAAAAATGTAAAAATTGTCAAGGGTTCATGAGGGAGGGTGGGGGAGGGGGAAAATAAGCTGATACCAAGGGCTCAAGTAGAAAAAAAATGTTTTGAAAATGATGATGGCAACATATGTGCAAAGGTGCTTGACACAATGGCTGTATATATAGATTGTGATAAGAGCTGTAAGAGCCTCCAATAAAATGATTTTTTTAAAAAAACAAAAACTCTCAAACTGCTCTTTTGACATGGTGTAAGTCAAAGAGCTCAGAATTCTTCAGGGACCGGATAGAGAGGGAAGCACTGCCCTTAGAAGTGTATAGATTTAGATCACTGTTTCTCACAGTAGGTGATGCCACCCCCTGTGGAGGCACTGGAACAATCCAGGGTGGAGTGGGGGTGGATAAATATACCTACACATTATCCTGGATGAAGAGCTATTTCACAAAAATTTTCATTGCTGGGGGGTGGTGGGGTTTGTACTGAAGTTTTTTGTTTCCTGAAAGGGGGTCCCTAAGCCAAATAAATTTGGGAACCTAGACGATATGTTGAGAAACTATTGCTTCCATTTGCACATTTTTGTTTAACAAAGCTTTCTGTGATTTTGTAACAATACTCCTGGATGTATTCTTGTATTTTCTCAACAATCCCAGACTGACTTTCTACACTGAGTGAGAATAACCAATCATTTTCTCATGATGGATTAGCAGGTGGAAATAAAATTATATTTATATTCTTTAAAACTGCTCATGCTGGAGATAGAGGACTTCTGTGTAAAATAGTTAACAAAAAAACCCCCGTCTATTCCAAATCATAGTGACCCTAAATAGGGTTTCTGAAGTAGCAAACAGCCTCATCTTTCTCTCACAGAGCAGCTGGTGGATCTGAACCACTAACTTTGCTGTTCTCAGACCAATGCTTACCCGATAGTGCTGCTACTACTACTACTATTATTATTATTATTAGGAAATTCTATTAATTAATAGTAGACAATAATATTAGTATTATTTGAAAATACTAACCACAGGTACTGTATCATAAAGAATTTTGGGGTGAGATTCTGCAAGCTTCTTGATCTTTCGATTCCAGGAAGCCCCATCCAGAAACAATCCATAAATGAAAACACCTAATTGTAAAAGAAACAGGTTAATTCAACACTTTCAATAAGTCTACTGATTGCGACCCCTGAATCTAAAAACCCACATGGGTATCTTTCATACATGAAGTTGCCAGTCTAAGGTTTGTTCTAAAACAACAGCAATTGTTCTGAGTGCTTTATGGGCCATATTTTAAGAATACCATTTTAAGACATCTTTTAAGTACATTAGCTAGGGAAAGCATACAATGATAACATTAGGTGTTGCTTCTAAATCTAAATGGAAGATAAAAGACTTATGGAATGTTAAATGTGGAAAACTCTCAGTTCGTCACGAAATCAGAATTGTGAATGATTATCAGGTGTTGTCCGAGGCATGAAAAGTGGGGGAAGTTATAGTTCTGGAGAACCCTCAAGCTTCTAGGCAGCAAGTGCACAAAACACCGTTCTGTGGATCTCTCATATCGTGAGAGTTAGATCCTCACGGCCAAGATCCCTCCTTAGTCTGAAGATGTACGGACGAACTTGAGTCCGTGCAGCACCTCAAGACGTGAGCAAAACTGGAGGACATTAAACTCAGCAAAGTCAGTCAGGCTCATAAAGATAAATATTTTATAGAACCAGTATTATAAAGGAAGAGAGAAACAGAAAGATAGATGGTTTTTAAAGACTACGAAGAGGCCAGGGCCAGCCAGGAGTGGTGAGGGGTGAAGGGAGGGACCAGACCTTCAGGAGAGAGGGTGGGTGGGAAAAGAAAAAGAACCCCATACATGGGCGGGGGTAGCCATGGGAGACTGTCACTGTTTGATGAGATGGCTGGGGTGCATCTACGTAAAGTATGTTTTTCTTTTGCATGTGAAATTCCCCAAATAAAAGGGAAAAACACAAAACGAATAAAGTTACAGAAAAGAGAAGGTTCAGGAGGCCTGAAAAACCCTCTGGATTCCTTCCCCTCCGGTCTGAGCTCTGTTCTGAATGGTTATAAAAGGACGGAAGCAAAATCGAAACTGACAACTTATTTTATGAAACATAAGCTAATTTCTCAGAAAGTAGTGTCACACAGTAACAAGTGGAGAGGAACAGGGACTTTCTGGACCTCTCCATTCATGCATCTCCCCATGACATACCCGTCATCGCAGCAAAACGCACGAAGACCCAACTTTTAGTTCCAATGTCAGCCAGTCCTTGAGTCTCAGGACCTGTTAGCAGTTTGTGATACAAGAATGTCTCGTGTGCCTCCTTTGGAGAGTTGTCAGACTCCAATCAGTGAATACAAGAAAATCAAGTATTTTCCTAGTGTTTGCCAGAGCGCCGACGTCCAGCAGAACTCTGCCCCATGGAAATGCCCTGCATCGGCCCGGCCCCAGGTGGCTGCTGAGATGAGAACCTTGAGGGAGACTAAAGCAATGAATATTTCATTTTAATTACAGTTAAATGTAACTAAGCACACGTGGACAGTCCAGTGATGAAAGATGGAAGGGACGTATGTGCTTTCTGCCCTCTGAGTTTTAGATGGTGCAAAGAATAGGTGGGGATAAAACATTAGCTCTGTTCATTGGCAGAGCCCTGGCACAGTAACTGCCAAAGCACAACTCTGAATATGCCATGCAGCCCCATGGCCCACAGATCAATCCAAGTCATTAATGGAAATGGGGAAAATAAAGGAGACTCAACGGGTCTAAGATCACCTCGAGGTCCTGCATTCTCAGGACTGAAGTTGAGTACCTAGCCCCACCTACTTCAGGTCCAGTCCAGAAAACCTCTGGCAAGCCAATCAGGTGATCTATTATTACTTGCTTCGGAAAAAGATAATGGCAAGGGGAGTAAATGGAGGAGTTCATTCCAATATGTAGAAACCTGAAGCCAGGGATAAAGTTCCCTCCAAACCGATAATCATACAAGACGTGATGAAGATATTCAGATGACTTTGTATTACACATGGCCTGTGGAGCCTTTAAGGAAACACAAGATTTGCTGGCGGCGACTGGCTCCTCCTTCATCACTCCGGTGCTTTGCGTCACTCCTTTGTGTAGGAGTTTCTCTCATTCACGTTTTCTGCTTCCCTTTTTCCACTGTGAAGACCGCTCTCAACCGATGACTACAAATCAGTCATAAAACCACAAAAAGCAACCCCACTGCGATCAAGTCAATTCCAATTCCTTCCAAACCCACTGCCTTTGAGTTGACTCTGACTCAGAGAGCCTGTAGGGCAGCGCAGAACTACCCCTGTGGCTGACCAAGTCTCCGAATCTTTATGGGGGTGGCATGCCTCATCTTGCTTGTACAGGCTGTTTGTTTCTACTGCTGACCTTGTTCTAAGCAAACCAAAGCATCAGCCACTATGCCACCAACACTCGCTTTCCAGTTCACCGTGACTATACGCTTTCTGGGGCAAGCCTTTAGGGAAGTGGATACCCTCATTGTTTCCTGAATAGCAGCTAGTGGGCTTGAACTGCTGACCTTGCAGTTTGCCGTCCAGCGTTCACTTGACAGCACTACTAGGACTCCTTGGACTCCCTCATGTTGTTGATGCTTGATGCAGTCTAGTTGGTTCCGACACACAGCAGCACTAGACCCAACAGAACAAAACATGGCCTGGTTTTGCCCCATCCTCACAATTGTTCTTACGCTTGAGCCTATTGTTGCGGCCACTGTGTCAGCACATCTCTTCGAAGGCCCTTCTCTCCTTTGGTGCCCCTCCAATCGACCACGCATGAGGTCCTTCTCCAGTGACCGATCTCTCTTGAAAACATGTCCAAAATATCTAAGATGAAGTCTCAACGTTCTTGCCTCTAATTCTGACCGTACTTCTTCCAAGATAGATGAAATAGTTTATTGTGCCAGCCTGACCGATAAACACAAGTGGGATTAACTGAAGGGCAGAGAGATAAATGCCCTGGTGAGTCTCGCCTTTCTTGTCCCTCGCTCTTTGATCATCGGACCAGTGTGCGGCTGCCTTGCTTGTCCTGTGCCTCAATTTAAAGGCTACACTACCTGTGGGATGCCTAGCCTGTGGACTGTGTCGCTGTAAGTTGAGGTCCCTTTAAGACATCGCTGGAGCTAGGGACTGGCTTTTAAAGGGATTGCTTAAACTTTGCAAACTGGCTAGCAACCTGGCTGGAAGTTGGTGACCTGCCTTCTGATTGGCTGCTGTGCTGACATAGCCTAGCTCTCTCTATAAATAGAGGAAGATCTGGCAGCAGATTGGACTGGAAGGACTGCTAGTCTCTCACATCTCTCTCAGGGCAGTGAGTTGAATTGAGCCATTTGTAGTGCTTTATAATTTAACTGTTTCTTTCTTGTATTATATATTTAACTGTATATGATTTAACAGTTCATTCCTTGTTATATATCTAATTATCTTTATAAATAAATATATTAAATTATCAGCAATTTGGTTTTATTTCTCTAGAGAACCCTGTCTAACACAATAGATTTGTTTGTCCTTTCAGCAGTCCGTGGTACTTGCATTATTTGTTGCCAGCACTGCAATTCAAACATAGATTTGTCTTCGTTCTTCTTTTGTCAGTGTCCAACTTTCACATGCACATGAAGTGATTGAAAACACCTGTGGCATGTGAAACCTTAGTCCTCAAAGGAAACTTGCTTTCCATTACTGTAAAGAGCTCCTGTGCAGCAGATTTGCCCAATGCAGTGTTCCCCATTTAATCTTTTGACTACTGCTTCCATGAGCATTGATTGTGGATCCAAGCAAGACAAAATCCTTGACAACTTCAACCTTGTCTCCATTTCTCATAATGTTACCTATGAGTCCAGTTGTGTATATTTTGGTCTTTTTCACATGGAATTGTAATCCATACCATATACTGCAATCCTTGATCTTCTTCAGTAGGTGCTTCAAGTCCTCATTTTCAGCCAGTAATTGTTGTCATCTGCACATCCCAGGTTGTTAGTAAGCCTTCCTCCAGTCCTGATGCCACCTTCTTCTTCATATAATCCACACTCTTTGATTATTTGTTCATTATACAGATTGAGTAAGTACAGAGAGAATAAAAACCTCACACACGTCTTTGCTGATCTTAAACCATCCAGTACCCCTTGTTCTGTGCATGCAGCTGCCCACTGATCCATGTACAAGGTCAGCATGAGCACAATTAAGTGTTCTAAGGGATATCCTTAGTTTGTTACTATCCACACAGTCAAATGCCTCAGCATGGTCAACAAAACACAAGTAAACACCCATCTCACATCAGCAATGATATCCCTTGTTCCCTGTCCTCCCCTGAATCCTACCTGAACTTCTAGCAGCTTCCTATTAATGTACTTCTGCCACCATGGTTTGATGACCTTCAGAAATATTTATTTGCATATGATATTAATGATATTGCTCTATAATTTGAGCATCTTGCTGTTTCGCCTTTCTTTGCCATGGGTACAAATATGGATCTCTTCCAGTCAGTTGGCCAAGTAGCTGTCTTCCAAATTTCCTGGCATAGACTAGGGAGTGCCTCCAGTGCTTTGCTGTCGTGTTGAAATAGTTCAATTGGTTTTCCGCCCATTCCTAGAGCCTTATTTTTGGCTAATGCTATCAGTGCAGCGTGAACTCCTTCCTTCAGTACCACTGATTCTTGCTCATATATGACCTCCTGAAATGGTGGAATGTGGAGTAGTTCTTTTGGGTGCAGGGAGTCACACATAGTATTTAGTAATTCAGGTTAGATGAATCTTAAGCGAATATACAGTAAACCCTTGTTTATCGCGGTTAATCGGTTCTAGACCCTACCGTGATAAATGAAATTCCGCGAAGTAGGATTCCTTATTTGTAAATCAAATATTTTCGTAGTTAGAGCATAGAGGACATGAAAAAACACCCTTTAGTCACCATTACACTTGTATTACCCAATTTATTAAACGAAAAAAGGAAAATACAGTAAAACATTTTGGACGTTACAATTATCATTTATTATTTATTATATTATTTATGGCATCAAGCGTGTACAGTATGAGCCAATCAGTGGCAGTAATGACAGAGCATGCGCTGTTACGCAAAAACCGCGATAGAGTGAAGC